CTTTTTTCTTTGGTTTTATTTCATTTTTCCTTTTCTAGCCCCTTGATTTAAATGTTTAGTTAATTTTCAGTTTTGTTTTCTGAAATGCATTTAAAGCTGTAATTTTCCTCTAAGTACCACTTTGGCCTCAAACCAGAGGTTTTATTGCTGTTCATTGTCCTTCAACTCTAAATTGTTTGTAATTTCTGCTTTGCTTTTCTCTTTAACTAGAGTTAAAGAGCAATATAGCTTTTTAAGTTTTCGAGTTTTCATACTCTTGTTTCTGTGAATTTCTCTTCTGATCTTATTATATTAACAAATTGAGCAAACCTTATCCAAAAATCTGAAATCTGAAGTGCTCCAAAATCCAAAACCTTTTGAGAACTTTTATGATACCACAGTAGGAAATGCTACATATAATTAGCACAAGCTTTATTTTGTGTGCAAAATTATTAAAAAGAGTGTATAAAATTATCTTCAGGCTATGTATATAAGGTACATATGAAACACAAATGAATTTCTCATTTTGATTTGGGTTCCCTCTTCATATAGTTCACTAGGTACATGTATATGAAAATATTCCATAGTCAGAAAAAAATTCAAAATCTAAAACAAGTCTAGTCCCAAGCACTTTGAATAAGGCGTAATCAATCTGTATAGGAAAAACATAACCTATGTGATGAGTTCTCCCTTTTGGAATTTGTTGAAATTTTTATTTATGGTCTAAAATATGGCCAATGTTATTATATTTCATGTGCTTAAAAGTGCCTATTCATTTGTTTAATTGTAAAGTTTGTCTTCTCTGTCTCTAAGGTTAACTTTTTAAATTTTATCGTTCAATGACAAGTGAGTCCTTTTAGGGAGCCATTTGTTTTGAGACAAGTCTCCAATGATATTGTAGGATCTGTCAGTTCCTACAGTTTTTAAAAACAGGGAGTTTTATACATATTCATTCATTCATTTATTAAGAGATAAGGTCTCACTATGTTGCCCAGGCTGACCTCAAGTTCCTGGACTCAAACGATCCTCCTTCCTCAGCCTAGCAGGTAGCTGGGACTGCACACATGCAACCATGCCCTGCTTACACACACACACACACACACACACACACACACACACACATAGTAAGCAATGTTCTTAGATGTTTATAATTCATGACTTTGGTACTTCTTGAGGCTGGTACCTTTCCCCACTGTAAATACTCTACCTCTGTCCTGTTTAATGATTTGGCCCTGAATTCTGTTTTGTGGACGCACTTCTTCTCTTTTGCTTAACACGTAAGCTGATAGATTCTTTTTTGTCCATCCATTTTTCAGTCTTTCTGTGTCATTTTGCTTTATAATGTGTCTTTTGAAGGTAGCAGACAAATGGATTTCTCTAAGTATCTGCTTTTAAGAAGTACGCATAACTCATTTGCATTTACTATAATTAGTCACAGTTCGGTTTATTTCTGCCTGACTATTCCATGTCTACTTTTCATTATACTTGCCTATTTTTGTTAAGTTTATGTTTGCCTTTTGTGGGATTGGCTCATTGACTTGTTCTGTTTTTCTTTCCTCTATTGATTAGGAAGTTGGGTCTGTTTCTGTTTTTCTGGTAGTTGTGCTATGTATGTACATGTGTGTATGCTCACCCTTTTCTGTCAGCATCTGGATGTAATCGAGATCTTTAGCCTCTTCCCAAATAAAGCAGGAACTTTAGTAGTAACTTATTTTTTCCTGGCTCCTATCCTCACGCATGGATTACCATAGATTTTAGTTCTAAATTATCATTCATTCTCTTCAAATTGGGCAACAGCGTTTATCTAAACTTTACTGTTAAGTTTTTCTGTTTTCTCCACTTACCCCTGTAATACCACTGGTCTTTTTTGCTGATTTGTTTTTTACTTTGCGGGAGTACAGCCTCCAAGAGTTCTTTTAGAAAGCATGGGTAATATGACTTCTAAAGCCGTCAGTGCTTGAGATAACTATTTTTCTTTCGACATGACCCATTTTTATTTTCAGCTCTTTTTTTTTTTTTTTTTTTGAGACAGAGCCTCAAGCTGTCCCCCTGGGTAGAGTGCCATGGCTTCACTGCTCACAGCAACCTCCAACTCCTGGGCGAGTCTCCTGCCTCAGCCTCCCAGGTAGCTGAGACCACAGGCGCCTGCCACAACGCCCGGCTATTTTTTAGTTGCAGCCATCATTGTTGTTTGGCAGGCCGGGGCTGGATTCGAACCCACCACCTTAGGTGTATGTGGCTGGCTCCTTAGCCGCTTGAGCCACAGGCCCCAAGCCTATTTTCAGCTCTTTATTGAGTTATAAAATTTTTTTTGAATGATCATGTTTTTAAATATCCTAGATCTCTAGTTTTTCTTTTGGATAATATATACCTTTAAAATATACTAATGCCAGTAATATCTTAATGTGTTCTATTCAGTTCTTCCCATCCCTGCTTTAGCTAAATTCATAACATTTCCATCTGTTTTATTGATGGCAATTCTGGGCAGTTTTTTTTTTTTTTTTTTTTTTTAAAAAACAGGTTATATTCCCTCTATTCGAAGGTTCATCCCTGAGAAATACTGGGGAAACTGCTTCCATCTTCCCACAGTCCTTACCTGGTCCCATCTTCTTAGCCCCTTCGCTTTACACTGCAGGATGTCAGAGTTACCTGCCCATCCCGGAGCCCAGCCCCTCATTACCACATGAGACTCAGGCCCAGGGCATATGCAAGAGTAGCTATGGGCAGCTCTCACGTCAGGGGCACATCTTGGGCCCTTGTGTCCATCAGTTGTGCCTCTAAAGTGCTGGATGACTGACAAGCTATGGGGATGGGCCACTTTCTTGGGCACTGTCTGAGGTCTATTTCCAGGTGTCATCCTGTGGCTTTCCTTGCCCTCTACACACCTTGACAACTCCCACATCTGTACCTCCTGCCCTCTCTCCTCTGTGTCTGATGTAAGTCTCCAAATCCCTGTTGGAAGTCCCCCATGCACCTGTGATAAGACCCATGTCAGCAACTGAGCCCTCCAGACCCTATTTCTCTCTGAGCCTTCCGCACCTGGGTATGTGGCACCACCTAGGTGTTCCGGCCAGACACGGACATTGTTCTCAAACCACTCTCCCTCATCCCACCCCACACTTTGCTCCTGAAAGCCCCTTTCCTGGTAACTCTGTCTTAGGAAGTGGCCTGGATCTGGTCACTTCCTGCAGTACCATTGATGTGGCCTCCAATATGGCATGCCTGGATCAGGGGCACCAGCCTTCTCCTCAGTCCCCTGCCTCACTCTTAGTCTGTTGTCCCCAGCAACCAGAATGAGCTTTTCAGGATCTCCTGTGTAGCGTGTCTTTCTTTTGCCCCAGTCTTGATTACATAGTGGGCCAGGTCCCATGACCTGCCCCTTCACCAGCACCCCAGGTCTCCTCTCCTCCTCCCTCTCAGCCCTTGAGGCCTGCCCTCACATATTCTGCTCTACCTCTGAGCTGTGGGTTTGTGGTGTTCTCTCTGCCTGGAGTGCCCTTCCCCTGCATCACATGGCTCCCTCTCTCCCTGCCTTTAGTCGCTGCTCAGATGCTGCATCCTAAGAGAGGCCCTCCTTCCCTATCCAAAAGGACACTGACTTCTCCCAGTGACCCTCCAGCCAGTTAGGTTGTACAAATAAGGGTCATTAGGGGTGAGAGAGTCCTGGGGGCTCTGGCAGCAGAATGTTGACCAGAGTGAGTTCACCAAGGCTGGGGGGAGGGGGGAGGAGTTGGAGGAAGGAGTCGCAGGCCGAGAAAGTAGCCTGAGTGGGAGAGAAAACCCTGGGTGAGGATGGCAAGCTCCCAGCAGACCCTCCTGTAGAACTTCTTGGTGCCAGGTGCTGCTCTAGGCACATTAACTGTAACAACTGAGAATGACCTTGGCCATCCCCATGTTAGGGAATATAGTCACAGAGAGGTGAGTGTGCCCAGGGTCACAACCTAAGAGTGAGGAGTCATGCTGAGCCTGGTGGTCTGGCTCCAAAATCTGCAACCACTCACTCCACTCCTCCAGGGAGAAGGAAAATGTGGGTGTGGTCAGAGAGTGGAGGGCTCTGGAGGATGGAGGGGAGTCTTCATGTGAGCAGGGGCAGGGGGGAGGCTGCAGGCTCAGCCTTCATGTGAGCAAGGGTTGGGGGAGGCTGCAGGCTCAGCCTTCATGTGAGCAGGGGCAGGGACTACAAGCTCAGCCTTCATGCCCTAGAGGGTGGGAGGGAGGTCAGGCCTGTGCAGCTGTGGCTGTGAGCAGAGAGTGAGCACTTTCCCTTAGGAGGAAGGAAGCTGAAGGATGGTGAGCAGCAGGTGTCCATAACCAGGTGGGATGGGGAAGAGCCTCCTCTGAGGTCATCCTGTCAAGCTGAGGTCCTCCCCCTTCTCTCCAGCACCCTGCTTCTTGCCCCACCCCCTCCAACATCCCCCTACTGGAAGGTGAGTGCCCTTGGCTGCTGCAGGGCCACTCCTTCCCCAGGGCCTACTTGGTATCTGTCCTGCAGGGTCGCAGGAGCCCCAGATGGCCTCTTCTATGCTTCCCCCTAGGCACATCACAAGCAAGCTCTCCTTCCCCAGGGGCTGCAAGGTACAGACACTGATTTTATAGAGGAGGAAATGGAGGCTCAGCATCAGGTAACTTCCCAGGGAATCAGTTTGTAAGGCCTACTGCAGGGATCCACACCCAGGTCTGAGGACTCCTGGAGAAGTTTTGTGGCAGAGTTAGATCACTGACTTCCTGAGGCTTGTCTGTGGGCTGTGAGTGGAGGCTGAGAGTTTAGGCCAAGTGAGCACCGTGGATTGAAATCAGGGAAGGGTTTGGTGGGTCCACAGTGAGTCAGTGAGAGCCTTGCACTGAAGCAGCCTTCAGGTGGCTGAAGCCCCCCTTGGGCCCTTACAGTGCCAGGGAGCTTGTGTGGCCTCTCATGGAGCACTTGCGACTGAGTCACAGTGGGGACAGCTGTGCAGGGTCAGCAGCCTCGGGGGCTCCAAGGTGGGCAGGGACAGCCCCTGAGTGGCCTCATCTCACCCTAGTTCTGGACACGGCTGGGCAGGAGGAGTTCAGCGCCATGAGGGAACAGTACATGCGCACGGGGGACGGCTTCCTCATTGTCTACTCTGTCACTGACAAGGCCAGCTTCGAGCACGTGGACCGCTTCCACCAGCTCATCCTGCGTGTCAAGGACAGGTGAGGGCCTGGGGCAGGGCGTCCCTGCTCCTGGTCAGAGGGGCTCTGGGCCCTATCTGTCTTATTCTCTCTTCCTCTCTTTCTCTCCTTCTCAGATATTCAGGGGCAGGCAGGGAAACAGACAGGCAGCCCTGAATTCTCTCCCTGTTAGTTCCTCTGACACCTCCCCTGGTTCTTTTTTGTGGGGGCCCAAACTGCTTCCAAGGCTGTAAGGGGTCAGCTCCCTCCTGTCTCTCATAAACTGCCTCTTCAATCAAGGGATCATCACTAACATCTTTGTTTTTCAACTCCAATTTAACCAACTTATATTTATGTTCAAAGAAAAACTACATTTTCTCTCCAGTATACATTGTAATTGGTTAAATCTCATTTGACTATGAAACTGTAAGTCTCTAATTAAAGGCTCTATTTTTTTTTTTTTTTTTTTTTAGCATTATGTAGAGGAGAGCCTGTTTTAAACCCAACTGGTCTTGTCAGTTAATTAGATCTCAAAGAGGCAATGTCAAGAAAATGAAAGGACAAACTACTAAGAAAACAGCAAGCTTTGAACAAATCCCAGTAAAGACAGGAAAATCCAGCTAACACCTATTCTAAAGGAAAGTGTTGATAACTTTGCCAGGTCAGGGGACACACACACATATACGTATACACACGCAAGGCTCCAGTAGGTGGATGGGTTAAGCCCCTGAATATATGAATCTCTAAAGAGTAATAAGCATCAGTGCTTCAGATGTTGGAAAATATTCAACTTTCTTGCTAATCAAAGAAGAGTAAGGAAAAGAATAAAGTATCATTTTTTATCCATCAAATTATAATTTTTTAAATGAAGATAATCCAGTGCAGATAGAGGTGCTATGAGATCCTTGTTTCATTCACTTTTGGAGAATAGTTTGGTCATGGACATTAATAAGAATCTTTAAGATGGACAGGCCTCTTGATCCCACACTTCCTCTTCTGGGAGCTATTCTAATTAATTGTGCAGCTGCCATGTGGCAGGTGCCCGCTGTGAGGCAGACCCTATCCCAGTGCACTTTGCAAGTCATCACAGAGGGCCACAGCAGCCCCTCATGGTTGGTACATCTGAGTGGCTTAAGGAACCAGGTCTGGGGAGCCAGTCACTCTCCAGCAGCCCCTCAAGACCTCATTGCTGATCTTGGGATAGGCCTGAGGCTTTAAGCTAAGACGGCCTGCAGCCCCCAGGCCCTGTCCCCCAAGTCTTTCTCTCTTTGGCAAAGAAAGCACAAGTGACTTCAGCCCAGGCTGACTGGGGAGGGGCTAGGAGCTGTGTATGCCTGAGGTGTGGCTGTACCTCCTTAACCAAAGTATGCGGGGGAGGGGGGTGAAACCTCACAGACCTGCTGTTCTTTATTTCCCAGGGAGTCGTTCCCGATGATCCTTGTGGCCAACAAGGTTGATCTGATGCACTTGAGGAAAATCACCAGGGAGCAAGGAAAAGAAATGGCAGCCAAACACAATGTAGGTGTGTGTGTGTGTGTTGGGGTCACAGTGTAGGGAGTGTATGTTGGGGGGTCACAATATAGGTGTGTGTATGTTGGGGTCACAGTGTAGGGAGTGTATGTTGGGGGGGTCACAATATAGGTGTGTGTGTGTGTGTTGGGGTTGCAATATATGTGTGTGTGTTTGTTGGGGTCACAATATAGGTGTGGGAGGGGTCACAGTGTAGGGAGTGTATGTTGGGGGGGTCACAATATAGGTGTGTGTGTGTGTGTTGGGGTCGCAGTATATATATGTGTGTGTGTGTCCTGGGGGTCAGGGGATGTATAAAAGTTTATATCTGACCACCTCTGCAGTCCTGGTCTTCAGAAGTGGACTAGGGTCTCCAAGGTAGCCATCTGGGTTCCACAGAGTGGCCTCGGAGAGTGTATGTGATGGGGGTATATATTTGAAACAAGGTAATGGACCAGAGAGAAAGCACCTTCTGTCAGTCATTAGAGGCTCTGATGTGGGGTCCAGGTGCCTTCAAGGTGGCCAGGGCCGCTCAGCCAGTGGCTTCCCCCAGGGCTATGTAGAAGGCATGGCTTCCGTGCTCCCCCAAGTGGGCCACCTGACTGTCCAGAACTGTCCGGTCAGCTACTGCTCTCCAAGCCCTGCTCTGTGTCGGGTGTCGTGCTAGAGGAGTGTATGTACCATGTCATCCGCTCCAGGTACACCTGGGGTAGGCATCGTCTCCATTTGACTAGGGATCAGCCCAAGGTGCTCCCCAGGCCCCATGGCACGGCAGCAGACATCTTTGTTTTCCAGTTCGTTGTGATGCTCCTTTGCCCTCTGGAAGATGCTAGGTGGGGTCTCTGGGCTTCCTTCTCCTCCCCAGCATTGGCAAAGCGTGTAGCCCTGGCCTCCTCGGGTCAGTCATACACACATTCCCTCTGCTGCCAGGCGCCCCTCCCCCACCCTGTGGTTAGAGGAGGGGCACTGGGTGTGAGTCCCCACCTATACCCCCCTTCTGTGCTCACTTCATTTCGCAGTTCAGGCCCTGGAGAGAGTCCTCCCTACCTCACGGTGCTCTCTTCCAGTGACAGGAAAAGGACAGTAAACAAAGCAGACTGGAGCATATCCAAGGGCAGGGCGCTATGGAAACAAGCAAGCCAGGGCAGGGACTGGGTAGCACGGTGCTGGGGGGCTTTTCTACGCAGGCGGCCGGGGCAGGCCTTGCTGGGAAAGGTCTGTTTCCGCAAAGACTTCCAGGAGGTAAGGGGATAAGCTATGCAGATATCTGGAGAAAGAACATTCCAGCAGATGGAGCAGGAAACAAGAGCAGAGGGGTGGTGTGAGCGAGAAGGGAGACCACTGCAGGGCGTGGGGTGCAGAGTGAGGGGGTCTGATGTACAGTGGGACGGCTTCTCTCTGGTGGCCATGAGGAGAATAGTCTATGGGGGGGGGGAAGGGCAAGAGCATGGAGACCGCTCCCAGGCTGCCACAGTGACCTAGGGGCAGGCTGACAGGGCCAGTGTGGTGCTCATAAGGTGAGAGGGGGCGGCAGGCAGCTATGTTTTTTAGAGAACCAGTAGGATTTGTTCACATATTTGATTTGGGGTGAGAGAAAAAAGAAGAATCGAGGAGTAATCCAAGGTTCTGGGTATGAGCAACCTTCAGGAGACTGGAGCGCCAGTAAGTGAGCTGGGAAAGACTGTGGGAGTGTGAGGAGAGACCAGGAGCTAGGTGTAGTCCCCCAAGCCCGGTGGGTAATGGCATGGAGCAGTTGGGATGGCAGTCACACATACCTGGCTGCAGGAAAACATGGGAAACTCTTAGCAGGTAGCTGGAATTTAAAGTGATGAGACCCAAGGGAGCATTTGTAGGCAGGCAAGGGGTCCTGGGATTGAGGCTGGGTCCCCTTCCTTGTCATGAATGTAGGCAGATGCAGAGGAATTACAAGAGCAATAAGCTGAGAGGTCAGTGAGGTGTGAGACCCAAGTGGGGTGTCTTGGGAGCCAAGTCAAGAAGATGCCTCCAGGAAATGGAGTGGTTGACCAAGTCAGGGGCTGCTTGGAAGTCTCCAGACAAGGCCCAGGAACTGACTGTCTGGTTTAGTGTGAGAAGCAGGACTTGTGGAGAGCGTGCCGGGGTGCCTGACATCCTGAGCAGAGATGGGCCAGGGGAGCTGGAGCTGTTTTGTTTCATAGTCTTGGGCTCCATAAATGACCAGTCCCCAAATCTGGGGAGGATTTGCTGAGGGCTTTCACACATACCTTCTCAGGGCCCCCACCCTCAGCAGCCCTGGGGGGCAAGGGTGCTACACAGGCAGCAGCAGTTTCATTTTACGAATAAAAGGAATGAGACACAGGAGGTTAGGTGACTTTGGGGGGCTCATAGCCTATGATCTTGCCCCCTCACTAGTGCCTGCGTCTCTAGCCTCTCGGCTGTTTCTCCTACAGCTAATGCTGCTGCCAAATGACTTGATCAAGTGACTTTGCAGGGCACCCTCAGTGACACCCTGATTTTATAGTTCTTAAGGAAAGTTCCCCTTTAGCTAAGGCAGGTTGCACCCACCCAGTGCAGGAAGGTGGCATTTCCTAGCCATTGGTGGAGTTTAATGATACTAGTTTATTGCAGGGTTTCCCTTAGTTTAAGTTTTGTTACTACTGAATTCTAAGAATCCAGATAAGGCACATGAGTGTTTCTTCAGTGGTAGAGGCAGGACCCCTAGAAAGAAGGTGGAAGGTGTCTGGGGCCCCAGAAAATAACACAACTCAGCAATGTGATGGGACCACAGGCAATAGTGGTCTAAGACCCCTGGAACTGGGGACTTTTATAGCTGGCAGGAGTATAGGATGTGAAGCGGCCCCAGGTAGGTCCAACTCCAGCTGCAGTTCCCTTCCTGCCTCCCTTTCAGATGTACACAGTGCAGCACGTCGTCCTGACCTACAGGAGCCTCACAGGGCTCTACCAGCCACTTATTAGGGGCACCTTCCACACCTGGAATGGTGTCCAGCCTGAAGAGGCTTCCAAGTTGACCTCAGCACCTCCCACCTGTCCACAGAGGCCAGGAGGGGAAATGGAGAGTGTGCCTTGTCTAAACCTTGATTCTCTGCTGGCTGCTGTTGACCTTGGGCAAGCACGTCACTCTGAGCTCAGTCTCCCATCTGCAAAATGGAAAGTCTGAAGGTTAATGTGAGGATTAAGTGAGGTCAGGGATACTGAGACCTGGAGCTCCAAAAGCCCACACGGAGGGCAGTTGCTATTTGGTGTCATCAGAGGCTCATGTATTTCAAATGAATATTTGGAAGGTCTGAGCTCTGCCCTTGTGTGTCTGTTGGCTCCAACGAGACCTCTGTGAAGCCACCGCAAGGTGTGAGCACTTGACTGCACGCAGTGACAATGGATGGGAAGATACGTCCAGTGACTTACTGTACATTCCTCTAAAACAACTTATACTGCCCCGTTTCCCCCGTGCATTTAACGTGTCAGTCATTTTTATTTTCTTCACTGTGCTTTTCATTCCCAAATGTATTTTAGTGAAAGGCATTAATTTTGTCATCAGAAAAACGTTGTGAAAAATAACGCAGTTCTTCAGTCTGATCACAGTCAGCTTACTTGCATCTCCTCGGGGGAGGCCTGTGCATGTTTTCCCAAACCCCCCACATGTGGGGGATGAATGCTTCCTGCCTTCATGTGGTCCTTGCTATAGGAGAAGATGAACGCTGGGGAGTATGTCCTGGCCCCATGGAGCCTTTGTTCCCCTCCCTGTGCCAGCCCATGACTTGGTGTGTAGCCATAGCCCTGGAAATTCGTCCTCTGGGGTCACTTTGGTCACATCTCCCCATGTGCTGCTCCCTTTCAGCCAGTGATGATTCCTCAGCATGAATTGTGCTGACAAAAACCTCGTATAAACATGGCCGAGCGCCCAGGCTCTTAGATACAGACCAAACAAGAGCTGGGCCAGGCAGGCCTGTTGGGGGTCGTGGCCGGCACAGATTGGCCAGGCTCACCCAGGATCAGAGTGTACTGTGCAGGGACCAGGAGGAGGGACAGAAGTCACCACAAGGTAGAGAAACAGGCTTCAGAAAGAAAACTGAATAGAGTCAGAATGTATTTTACTTTGATTAGTGAAACAGTCTTGTCTTCAAGTATATAAAAAGATCATTTTTATTCTATTTTTAGGGAACTATTAAATATCTCTGTGACGAGAGAACAAGAGGGAATTAGAAAAGTCATTAGTAAAACTTTTTAACCTTAAAGACTGACACGCCACCAAAAGAGGCTTGAGGCTACTGGGGGCCAGTGGTTCTGTGGGGGGCTTTGAAAGCACCCAGGTTCCTCAGAACCTCTGACATTTTTAAGGGTGCTGCAGGGCTTTAGAAATCTCAGTGTCACTTTGACCAAGTGAGCTTTGCCTTCCAGATTCCATACATAGAAACCAGTGCCAAGGACCCACCTCTCAATGTCGACAAAGCCTTCCATGACCTTGTGAGAGTCATCAGGTAAGCACCGCCATTTCCCTGAAACAGGCTTCTGCAGCCTGGGTGGGCACCTGGCCGTAGAGGGCGGGCTTGAAGGCCACGGGCAATTCTGGGCTTTGTTCTGGATTTCTCGTACCTCCCTCCATTTCTTTCCCTTGCTCTTTCCACCCACCTCTGCCCAGCCACAAACAGTTCTGTGGTGAAATTTGCATAGACTGTTAAATGGAAATACCTTCCTCATGGGGCAGTGGCCCAGGCTCCCTGGAAGGCACCTTCCTTCCGCCATCTTCCCCATACCAGAGCTTTCAATGCCATACCAAGTGGACCCCTCTCCCCTTCCCTGCCTTTTGACATTTCCCCTGACCTACCAAAGTTTTGATTGTAGGGCTCAAATTTCAGAGCCTTCAAATTTCAAATTTCATTACACATGTGTCCTTTCCTGACCCCTCACACTGTCAGTGTCCAGGTATTGTCAGCAGTTTTAATGAATGGTCTCTGGTATGGTCCTTTGTATGATCAGGGGCCACCCTGGTCACCTAATGCTCTCATGACCGAAATAGCCTCCTGGCCATGTCCCCCACGACCCACCCATCCTGTTTCCCAGTCTTCCACACGTAGAGGAGGCTGACCAGTGTTCTCAGACACCACGTTTCAGCTCTTAGAGTCGCCGGCCTCATGCTGTGAGATGTGAAATCAGACCTGGGCCTCTGACGGAGTCCTGCCCTATTTCCCCCTTCCCTAGGACACTAAGCAATCTTGTTTTCTCACGTGCCCCCAGCATCATGGGGACAATTACAGTCTTCACTTTATGGCTGTGTAGTTTTGCACCCATGAGATGATTCTCCCCGGGACTTTTTGCCTCCACTTAGGATAAGCTGCCGTTAGACAGCCTGTGCGCTTGTCTTCATTATAGACCTCTAAGTCCAAGGGCAGGTTTTAGACACAGGAGAAAACATGTAAAAGGCTTTGGCACTCAGCTGACCTGTTATTTTATTCAAAATATGAAACACGGAAACAGAGGCCAAAACTCCGTAAAACATGAAGTTGTATATGGTTTACAGCACAGCCATGGCATAATGTCAGCGATCCCCATCAGTAACGGGTTTAAGTTTCTCCCTCCTCTCCCTCCCTCGTTTCATTGCTCAAGAGACCCTCTCAGCCAGGCCCTCCTCTGGCCAGACCCGCAGCACCTCTGGGCCTATCCCCACCCTCTTCACCCTCCACCCCTGCCAAAACAAGCCTCCTCTGCCTCAGATCCGGGGCTGAGGGAGGAAAGGGCAGCGTGGAAGAAAACACATTCTGACTTTGCCTTCTGTCCTTTTGTTTCAAAAGGCAACAGATTCCGGAAAAAAGCCAGAAGAAGAAGAAGAAAACCAAGTGGCGGGGAGACCGGGCCACTGGCACCCACAAACTACAGTGTGCGATCTTGTGACAGGCCCAAGAGTCCGGGCCTGGGGCCCAGTAACGGTGGCCTGGCCAGCCCTGGGGACCCTTCACTGCCCAACTGCACCGAAACCATTTCTAACCACGACCCTTGGGCCAAGGACTTGGCACAGGAAGGGACAAGGGGAGGGTGGACAGGGAACAGACAGGGTCTGGCTTTGCTCAAAGGGCACAGGCTTTCTCATCTCTCACAAGGGACAAGGAAGCCACCTGGCAACAAAAGCAGCATTTCCAAGCCCCCCACGTGTCAATTCAGCGGTTCCTCCCCGTCTTTGGTCAGAGTGTTGTTTCTTTTAACTTCATAGCATTGGCTTGACGTGGAAGTGTTTATCCACATATAAAGTACAAAGCGAGCCATGAACAAGCCTCCTTCCCCTCCCCCCAGTCCACAGTGTCTGAGCTTGGGTAGATTTTTAAATTATTTTAGTGATTATTATTTTATGAAAGGGGTCTGGGCCCACTCCCTGGTGAAGTTTCAGGTTTTCAGTAGACCTCTCTGGTGACGTGTCTGGATTTTTTTTTTTTTAACTAAAATTTCCCAGCAGTGCCAAAACTCAACTCCGTGTGAAAGCAGAGTGACAGAGGCGGCAGAAGTTAATAGGAGTGGTAGCTGGAGGGAAACAGACTCTCCTTAGGGCCTAGGAACTGGAGAGGACAGATGTGCTCCTCTGAAGCTTTTGCTATGACAGACGATGCAGATCCTAGAAAACAGAATTTTATTTTGCTGAGGGGAGTCGCCGGCATAAGTATGTCAGTTCTAAAAGGGGTTTTTGCTATTCTAGAAATGTATAAACTAGCCAGGTGTTGTGGCGGGCGCCTGTAGTCCCAGCTACTCGGGAGGCTGAGACAAGAGAATCACCTAAGCCCAGGAGTTGGAGGTTGCTGTGAGCTGTGATGTCACAGCCCTCTACCGAGGGCAATAAAGTGAGACTGTCTCAAAAAAAAAGTATAAACTAAAGTGAGCTGATTGTGCAAAAGTGTTTATTTTTTAGACAGTGTGGGTTAAGTTCTGTGTTCTTCCCTGACATCCGAGAGGGATTCTCAAATCTGTCTCTTATTGATTTCTCACATTACTGTGCTGCTTGGTGCCTCTCTGATATTAAACACATCAAGGTACTTTTACATGGACACCATCCAGAGAACTCTAATTCATGCTGAATCCTATTCAAACAAGATTCAGTACTGTTATCACTGGAACGGCGCCAACTGAAGCCATTTTCCCTTGGAGTCAAGTGACCGCCCCTGTAAATGAGCAAACCCCTTCCTTTATTTGCAAACTTAGTGCTAGGTGGCCTTTTGGGCCATTTTTATTAACCTGATGGGTCTTGACTATAACATGATCATCGTGATCAGAGGAGAAAGGTGGGTTGGGCTGATGACGTGGCTCCCATACACCTTCTGAGAGGGGACAGTCCTCCAACTCCCTGATGAGGTGCTGCTGCTGTGACCCAGAGACTGGGACTTTTTCCAGCCGGGGTGGGAGTGGAGGGGCAGGAACAACAGTGTACCCTGAGAGAAAGTCAAAAGATGAGATGGCACAGCTAGTGACCTTATTTTCCAGATGTTACAAGTCAGGTCACTTACAAAACAAGAACATCCCCAGCAGGTGGCCTGGCCACTCTGGAAAAAGAATGTCAAGGAAAGTGAGCGTCCAACTGGATGTCCAGACATTTGGATTCTTCTGCAGTTCTGAAGGTGTGCTGAGTTCCTAGCTCGGCAAGATCACCAGCACTGAGGGGCCAGCCAGAGAGTGATTCTGCTGCAGAAGGGAACAGTTGGGACTTTTACTAGTTGGAAATCAAACTTATTTCTCTAAGTGGCCCCTTTTTCTATTCCTAAAAGAAAAGATAGGAGAGAACATTCCAGATGAGGTGCTTCGAAGCTTCCCAGGGCCTTACAATCCTGGTCGGCATTTTAAACACTGAAAGGACGAGGCTCTACCCAACCCTTAAGCCCCACTAGGCTAGGACTGCAGCAGGCACGTGTACAGTTCTACAGCAGCTGCAAACCAGAGGGAGGTGGAGGAGAAACATGGGAAGAAGTGAGGATGGAGGTGCCTGGAATCGAGAACGTGGTGGAGTGGGACAGAAAGCCCTGAATGTGGCGTCCACTGCTGGAAAACTTCGCAGCTCCATCCCCGCCAGCACACCCCCATGCACCATGTTGCATCTCCCTGACAGCGCTGAGTAGGGGAGCCTACTGGAAGCAGCTCAGGTGACACTTAGCCATATAGGTCACCAGACCTAGATTTTCTGATCACTCCTGGCCCTACCTGCAGAAGGGATTCTGTACCTGTGCATCCATCCTGCCTTGCCCACGGCTCAACTCCACAGTGCCCAGGGGAGAGACTGGTTTAAGGTTGCCCTTCTGCAGCTGTTAGGCTGATGGTAAGCATTCATCTCCCAGGACTTCATTTTCCCCATAGGTGAAATGGGTAAATAACACTATTTATAGAATTGGGCCCTTGTGACAGAGGCAGCTTCCAGATAGGCCAGAGAAGAGTGTACCCTGGGGTGTCTTCTCCATCGTCACTTAGCAAGGTCAGCCTGGAGAACCTGTTTGGCCAAGCAACACCATGACCAAGGAGCCCAGTGGGACTTGTGGCTGTGTTGACATTCTCACATTCCCACTGCTTCTCCAGAGAGTAGCGCCACCTTCACATCCTCTGGAGCACACTCTTCCTGACATCCCCTCACCCCAGGCCTTTGCCAGGGTACACCCTCAGATTTCCTTCACTGTTCCGAAACCCTCCTGAGAGGGCTGCTTTTCTTCCCAGAAGTCATGCTGTCATCCTCCCTGTCCCCACAGCCTAGGGCTGTGGCCACTTGCTTCCCATGCACCTTGCTACACAGGGGCCACTTTCTCTCAGCGCTTTGCCCACCACCTCCTCGTGGTGCTTGCTGCAGATGGTGCCGGGTTGGCCTAGTGGGGCCTATCTCACTTTTCCAGGAGATGTGACCTACTAACGTGACAACTCTAACCCAAAGGCCCCTTAGACGTGTTACAACAAATCTGGAGCCATAAACAGGTTTCCTCCCTTGGCAGCCCATTGGGTTTGAAATTCCATGTTGAGTTTACTTAGAATGAAAGATACTTGAATTATTGAGCGCCAGTGAGCGCCCAACTTTTCTGTTTCACAGTATTAGCAGGTGGCCATTGTCGTGAAACGAGAGTGATCCCTGAAGATCTCAATGATGCTTGAGCCTTTTATGTAACTTTTTATTAAGTCTTTGTGTATCTTGACTCATTAATAAAGAAACACTTGTCTGTCTTATTCCTCTTATTTAAATATTCCCAAAGTTATGCTGAGAGCATAGTAAGCAGTCAGTGTTTTGCCCAGAACACCCACCTCTTCTGGAGCATGACCTTGATCCTAGCAAAACCTAAAGTTAGGCGGAGCCCACTGGTGGCCATGAGAGGTATTTTCTTCCTGCTCAGAGCCAAAGGACAAAGGCAGGTTAGCACAGCATTTTAAAAGAATTGTATTTATGCTTTTTTTTTCGTTAAAGATGGGGTCTCTGTTGACCAGGCTGGACTCAACGTCCTGGGCTCAAGCAGTCCCCCCAACTTCAGCCTCCTGAGCAGCTGGAACTACAGGTGCAAGCTGCCACACCCAGCTCTAGCACAGCATTTAGGGGCATGGCCTCTTATTGCTGGGCAGACACGGATTCCAGCTCTGCCACTGACCTTTATGTGCCTTTAAGCAAGAGACCTGCTTTAGTCTTCAGCTCCTCTACCTGTGAATAGGACAATAGAACACACCTCCTGTGTGATGTTCATTTCCACAGAAACTGCCCCGTGCCTCCACCCACGGGGTAAAGTCTTTTATAAAATGTGGTTTCATTTCTTGATTAATGGAATCCAATTGGTACCTAACCAAACTGAGCTTTTCAGGATATCTTTTCCAGGAAAGAGAAGGCAAATTCCTCTCTTAGTACCTCTCTGGGGAACTCTTATCTGGAATATGTGAACTTGGGGGCTAGAGAATGCTGCTTGTGATCTTTGGGCTGGGAGCAAAGCCAGGACTGCAAACTGGAGGGGAGAGGGGCAATATGGGGGATGGCGCAGGTGTGACTGCCTGCCCATTCATTCATTCCACAAATATGTATTGGACCTTGCTGTATGCCTGGCACTGGGCTGGGTGCTAGCTGTATGATGGTAAACCATCGTACACTCCCTCTTTCTTGCTGAACTTCCTTCTCATGGTCTGCTCTTTGTTTCTAGTCCTGTGTTAGTTTCTTGTGATTGTTGTAACAAATTATCACAAACTTAGTGGCTGAAAGCAGAAATGCACTCTCTCCTAGTTCTAGAGACCAGTGTCCAAACCCAGTCTCACCAAGCTGAAATCCAGGTGTCAGTGGGGCTCCAGGGGAGACACTGCTCCTTGCCTCTGCCAGCTTCTGGTAGCTGCTGGCATTATTTGGCCTGTGGCCCCATCACTCCCATCTTTGAAGCCAGTGTCTTCAAGTCTCTAAATTTTCCATCCTCATGTTGCCTTTTCCATAGATGTCAAATCTCCCTCTCAGCTGACATGTCACTGAGAAAATTAAACCCAGCTGAGCTGGATTTCCAGGCTCTGCCCTCCACCTTCCACCCATTCTCTGGCAACTGCAGCCACCTACTCACCTTGGTTGTTACAGAGGAACCCTGCACACTCCTGGCTAAGCCAGGCCCTTCCCCAGGGTCCCAGAACACAGTAGGATGGTATTCTGGCCCTTCACCCCTTTTCTGAACATCTGTTTTTCCTTCTACTGGATCTTTTTCATTTTAAACCAAAACAAAACCCTTTTTTGACCCACTTCCTCTGTAGATACCACTTGCTCTTTTGCTGTCTTTTGTAGGCAAAGGTCTAATTTATATTCACTATGATGAATGAATTCCTTTCATTCCTTTCTCTTTAAACTGATCCAAATGAGCGTTCACTTACCACTCTGCCACCACCATGACTCCTAAGGTCACTGTTGGCTTCCATCTGGCTAAGTTCAGTATCTGGTTCCCAGTCCTCTCACACTCAACCTCCCTGCAGCATTGACACGGTCACTCACTCCCTCTTCCTTGCTGAACTTCTTCCATTAGCTTCATGGGTGCTGCTGACTCTTGGTTTTCCTCTTTCACTGGTTACTCTTTCTTAGTCTCTCTTGCTGGTTCCCCCCCTAACACCTAACCTGTGAGCTCTGGAGCACCTGAGAGCTCTTCTCTACCCAAACACTTTCTGGAAATCTCATCCAACCTCAAGACAGATGCCTTTCACATACTGATGGCTCCCAGTCGTATGGTCTCCTGGGTGAAACTATCCCAAACTCCCCTTGTACATCCAACCGTGGACTCAGTGCCTCCACTTGGATTCCTCAGGTAGAGTGTCTAAAGTTAACATGTCCCAAGCAGAATTCCTGACTTACACTCCATGCCGGCCCTGCCCACAGCCTTCCCCAGCTCTGTTAAAGGCAGGGCCATGCATGCTTTCTACGCCAAAAGCCTTGTCCTTCATGCCTCTCCTCCTCTTG